GACGTAATCGGTCTACAAATGCGGCCTCAGGAGGATGCAGCCCATGAATTTGGACACGACCAACTTAAATACACTCAGAGAAACACAGGGAGATTACACACAGGTGGGGGACACAGCTGGGAGTGATTAACGTGACGAGAGAAGGGAGGCAAACTGAAAACACTCACATAAGACGCAGACCTTCACAATAAAACAGGAACTTACACATGCAAGGACACAGACTAAGAAACGCGGACTAAACACAGGGATGCACGGGCAGAAAAGAATGAACACTAACCGAGGAGGAACAGAATCAATATTACAATAATAGAAAACACCAAACGCTGGGTCAAAAGGACCCAGGATCATGACAATAATATCATCACAAAATTCCAAAGTTCTGGACAAACCCATGTGTGCAAGCTGAAAATCAGTCCTCGGGATCTTCAAGCTCGCAGCCAGCACTGCATGTGCTCGAGGAAGCTTCCAGAAATCACTATTTGTGGACACAGTGTGCCATTCCAAACTGTGTCCACAAATACAGGATAAAGCTCTATCATACAGTCTTCTTCAGTTCAGAACGGAAGAATCCTCTTGGATGATATAAGAAACGTCTTCACAAATCAAGAGAAGTTCAGCCGCCTTCCTTTCAAGCACTTGAGATGATACGCAGTGGTAAACACGGCTCTGTTCCAACGTAACTGAGACATGCGGCTGCCATCAAAGCCAAAATGGCTTTATTGTTTTTATTAAAATGGTACATTATCTACATTTAAACATTTTAATTTATCCTGTTTAATACTGTAAATAAACTAAGGGGTTTAAATGATTGCATTCTGTTTAAATTTACATTTTATGTAGTGTGTCTCGGGGATTGCAGTAATTAATAAGTTCTATAATTTTCAGGCTGTTGGCAAATCTTATAAAATGCCAAATCCAACACCGTGTTCTTAATTCTCGCAATAATGCGACTTAATAATATGAACCAAGCCAACTTGTAAATATTGGAGACGAAGATTTTTTAAATCACACAGAAAAAAAGCTATAAAATAGGCAATAAAAATGTATTAATACACAATGAAGTAACAGAACAATGCATATGGGAATGACTCAAAATGAACCACAGTGCTAAT